ACTTACATCCAGAATATAAAAAGGAACTCTAGTAGATCAGGAGTAAAAAGACAAGCAAGACTCCAAGAAATGAATAAAAGACTCTAACCAAGACTTTACAAAAGAAGATATGCAAATGACAAATAAGCAGGGAAAAAAGATACTCCACAAGCAAAACCCAAACTACCAAATGCAACTTCTAGCCTCTTTATACCTAAGTTAAGGGATAAAAGAGACATTTGACAATATCAAATGCTGGAACTCTCATACTTTGCCAGTGGCAGTGTTCCGGCTGGTTTGGAAAATGTTTGGAAGTTTCTTATAAGATTAAACATTCATCTTACCTATGACCCAGAAAATCCATTCCTAGGCATTTAACCCAAAAGAAATGAAAACATATATCTATACAATGACTTGTAAATGAGTAATAGCTTTTTCCATAGTAGCCCCAAACTGGAGGCTTAAGTCCATCTACAAGTGAATGGATACACAAAATATGACATATTCACATAATGGAATACTACTCAGCAATGAAAAAGGATACATATGGATCTATGTAAGAACATAGGTGGGTCTCAAAAACATGTTGAATGAAAGAAGGCAGACACAAACAAGTATATATTGTGTGATTCCATCTAAATGTAGTTCAAGAAAAGAAAAAAAAAAACCCACCTAATTTACCATAATAGAAATCAGGACTGTGGAGGTATGGCTTGATTGGAGGGCATGAGCGAAATTTCTAGGGTGACAGAAATGTTCTCTACTTAATTTGGGGATTGTTTCCACAGGCCTGTGTACATTTGTCAAAATAATCAATTATACTGTTAAGATCTGTGCATTTCATTATATGCAAATTTCACCTCCATAAAAACGACCCAAAATACCAATTAAGAATCACACATAAATTATCTTAAGCACTTAAACTATCACCATATGATGCTGCGAGTCCCTCTTCACTGGTGATTGCATGAAGATTATGCTATGAAAGCAGAGGATGCCTCCAGCAGCAGACGCCGAGCCTTGCCCCATGTTGAACTGGTCATCATGAATGTACCCAGCTGCGACATGTTTTCTCCAACAACCTCACACAATGACACATGTGGACATCTAAGTTAAAAAACAAAAAAATAACATGAGAAAAGACCCCAGAGCAAACCACATTCCTAATCAATGACACATTCACCAGAAGTTTAAATATTTGCCACAGATGGCAGAAATTATTCTGAGGTCTAAACAAAGATGATTTAAGCTGGCATCGCCAATTTACTTTGGTGGAGGTTTACTGTGTGCTATAATTTATTGTGTTGCACGTTTTTCATGCTCTTGCTATTTTGAATTATGCTTTCTAACATATTAATATATATGTATATATGTTTATAACAAGAATCAAATGTTTGCAAAGGCTCTGAAGTACCTTTGAGGTTGGAAACCGCTGGTCTAGCTATACTAGCTCCAGGTTGGAGGCCAGGATGCTGCCTTCTGTTTATGCTAAATAGCTTCGTTAATGGCTGGACTGAAGTGTTAACAGTTTAGTAGTAATGGGTAAGCAGGCAGTTTGGGAGACTAAATGACTCCTGTTAAAAAATTGATAATGGCTCTTCCTGGGCAGGCACAAAGGACAGATAAATAAAGAGAGGCTGTAGGCTGTCCTGTGAATCTAAATCAGGCAATGTGGGTTAAGCTGCTATTTCAGCCCATTCTCGACTGGATTGTGAACATTTTCTGGACCTCAGTTTCCTCATGTGCTCTGCCTAATGTAAAAGTCACTTGGAGTTCTTGTTAAAATACAGATTATGGTACAGTAGGTATTGGGTGGGGTCTGAGTTCTGTGTTTCTCACAAGCTCCAGGTGATGCCCATGCTGCTATGTTCCGGGGACCATAGTTGGTGTAGCCAGGGCCTAGGAGACTCTGTTGGTCCTGGGAGAAAATAATGGGGGATAGCACTCAAACTACTACTTTCCAAGTGGGGTTCTTAGTGATAGTTCACCTTAGATTAGGTGGGGAAAAGGTGGAATTGGAAAGGAAATACAGATCCTGCAGGGATGCACTGTCCAATATGGTGGCTGTTAGCTTCAGATGGCTATTTAAATTTAAATGAAATGAGATAAGATCAAATTACTAAGTCAAAACAGCCATATTTTAAGTGCTCAATAGCCGTGGTGAAGGATGGCTAATGTGTCATATTCCACAGCACAGAATCAGAACACTTCCTTCACCACAGAAAGTTATATTGTACGGCACTGCTCTAGGGTACTCAGAACCAGACACGGGAGCAGGCAAGGACCGGATTGCTGGAAAGTCTTCCAGAATGAGGAATCTTTCACTCACAGATTTATGAACTAAGCTGGGTGAAGCTGGACACTGCATCTATTGGTAATTGATTAGTGTCATTCTAAACCTTTGGACCTGGGGCAGAATACTGTTCTGCTCAGCTCATTTGCAGGTTAGGTTTCTGACCTCATGCAGTGCCCTCAGTTTATTCCATGCACTCAGCTCATGCATTTTGCATTAGCAAGCTTGGTGGACCTCCAGACCATTCAGAGCTGAGAGGTACCCTATTTCAGTGTTTTCTAAACCGTATTCTGGGGAGCTCTGGATTCCTTCTGCTACTTCAAACAGATCAGCTTCACTTTTTTTCTGGTTTTGATATTGGTTTCCTAGAAAACATGCCTCTGGAAAAAAAATCGGTTCCCACTTTTAAACAAAGTCTCAAAACCACTGATTCTAGTTCAGCCATTACACTTTATAAATAATGAAACTGAGGTCCAGGAAGGTGGAGGTTCTGACCTTTCCAAGATCATATGGCCAATTAGCAAGATAGCTGAGATGAGAAGTCATGTCTCCTGACCTGAACAGTGTTCCTTCCACTGGCTCACTGTTAATTGTCTTTGCACACTACATGTCTGGCTGCCTCAGCTGGACTGCTGGCTCCTGGAGGGGAGAGGAGGCCTGAAGCCTTTCTGGTACCCCTGCTGGTCTGTTACCTGGCTTGTGGCTGGGGAAGTAGTACCATTTAGTTGATTGCAGGTTGTGGCAGCTTCCTGGGAGCTGAGATACTGAGGGAATTCAGAGGCTGGACACCTGCATGCATCAATTCTTCCAAGTTTATAATTTAGAAGTAATACTCTCCACACGGCGAGAGTTTCCAGGTGACTGCTATTTGCCAGCTCTAAGGACCAGGAAAGGGTCATCAGAAGGTATTTGTGGTTCTTTCTTTCCCTGGACCTGAGTCTCTGCCCCAGAATTGGCCTCCAAGTTAGGCCTGAGCTCCCTGGGCTGGAACATGGATAATTTCTTGTCTTCCTCTAGAGCTCAGTGCTTTTTCATTGTTGGCCTCATTAACTATACAATGATGATGGCTGGCTCCCCAGCCGGCTGTCTTCCTCCTTTTTTGTTTTTATAGTAGATCTTTCTTGAGCTTCTATCTGTCCCTCCGGTAACACTTCATCTCTATATTCACACATGTTAACCATATGCCAAGGAACAGAAGTTTCTGAGCTTCTCCTAAATGGCACTGATGGGGGATTGGATCCAGTTAGGCCACTGGATGCTGAATGAAGATTGTTAGAGAATGATGTGAGAAACAAAGCTCTGACGATGGAGTGTTCCTTTTAAATTGTATTCTGCCCCAGAGACCTGGGCTGAATGTTCCAGATAGATACAGCTTCTTGCTTCACAAAAGGGTCCCATTTGCCAGGCATGTATAATTTAGGTTAATTTAAAATTTATTCTAAATTTAGTGTTCTCTTTGCTTACTCCCAACATAAAGATGATTTATTGGCATATGCATAATGCATGGCATTCCATGAATCCACAAGAGCATTAATATTGTGCATCCTAGAGGCCTTTCTCAGAAGATCTCTGTGCCTCTGGATGTTTCTATGTGCACCCTCCCTTGCCTTTTGAAGGCTGACCATGCTACTCATCCAAAGAGCCTAGCCATCCACAGGTGGGTTTAATAATGAGGAATGAAGATGTAGAGGACTAGGATGGTAGTGCCATAACTGCTTTTCTCCCCGGTTTGTTTGTTTGGGCTCCCTCTTTTGGAAGATATATGACAAATACTACTGGTTGATTCACTTAAGACCTATTTCGCTTCTTTCTTCCTTGTCTGATAGACTCTAGAAAGCAAAACCCTACATTTCTAACCTCTCTTGTCATCTGATTGCCATGTGACATCATTCTGGACAACTGGGTATTTGCAGAAGTCCCAGGGAGAGCTTCCATTCCTGGATACACCAGGTCTTTAAGAAGAAAGATTTTGTCTTATATTTTAGCCTAGCTCTCTAATTCTTGCTTTGTGATGGGAAAACAGTGCCTGAAGGTGTGCCACTTTTTCAGAGAATGGGAACGAAATCTCCACATTAAGGATGACAGAGTGAAAAGATAGGAGAATCCTAGTTCTCTGGTGAAAGTTTTGAGAAGCTGAACTTCCCCTACACTGCTTTCTCTGAATATCTTATTACCTGAGGAAATGAACCCTACTTCTTTAAACTAATGTTTGTTGGATTTATATGAGCCTCAGTCAAATATATTTTGAAATGGTGAAGGATATATGGAAAAATTTTCAACACTCCACTTTTCCCATGAAAGAATTTACCAAGAAGGGTCTTAGATTAGAAGTCAGGATTTTAGTCCTGTATTTGCTATAAACTTGGACCCATAAGCTCTTAGATCCAACCATCCTGCAGAAAATGAACAAATCATTTTCTGTATCTGTGTCCTTATCTGTAAAATGAGAGTGTTGTGTCGTTTCTGACTTTGCTAAGATTACATGGAGTCTTCCCAGTCCTGCAGGAAGAAATAAATTGTGAAATCTTTTTTTTCTCAGTAACCCTGAGTCCCTTTCCACCAATGGCATTCTATATCTACCATTTCCCATCTAATCCAGCAGAGTTACACTACAAAATGGGCAGGAAGATTATGTAGGTATCAGAATCCTGTGTGATAAACCACCTCCCAAAACTTGGTGGCTTACCTGAAACAATAACTATTTATTATTCCTTGTGATCCTGTGGATTGGCCAGCAGGTCTGATGGTCTTGCCTAGACTCACTCAGGTAGCTGCATTCAACCTTTAAGACAGTGGAGGGTTCCTTTTAACCTGTTGGTGCTGGTTTTTGGCTGGGGCATCTTGATTCTCTCTTCTTGGCTTCTCTATCAGGGTAGCCTGGACTTCTTTACATGATGACTTGGGGTTCTAAGAGGATAAAATAAGAAGCTTTAAGATGTTTTAAGGCCTACTCAGAAGTTCCCAAATGTCACTTCTACCACATTCCATTCAGAAAACTTCTAAAGCCTTAGTCCACCATAGTATAAGAGTTATGTCCTTGATCTTGTGTTTTGCATCAGGTCCAGATATAGATGAGTTCCCTTGTGTATTGCTGAATCCATCGGGTGACTAATGATTAAGAACTGAAAATTAAAAAGGCAAGTTATCTACTACTTACACACCCCATTTACAATGTACCAATAAACAATAGAGAGGCAGAGAAAGGACAGTCCCAGTAGGCAGACATACCCAGACAAAAGGTGGAGGGCAGGATGTGTATGCTGGTTTCCAGAAACTCTGAAATCCAGTCACACATATGTTGCCTGTCCCCCCAGTTCGAGGAACCCATAATTTTCTTTAACTTGAGCCCAGTTTTGCTTCCTTGGAGTGGTCTCTTTATCCCTTAAAGTTCTTAGCTCTTGTCTCCGTCCTTTGCATTTTGGTTCTGTCCTTTGGATTATTGGCTCTGTGTTCTGAGATGTCCTTCCTTTTCTGGAAAGAATGGCCCATACTTTTAGTTGAGAAGCTTTTTAAATCTGTTTCCTGCATATAGAAAGTTAGAATGGGGGCAGAGGTCTCTTTTCATTCTGAACTGTCCTTTATTTTTGGAAGAATTGATACAGTTCCTCTAAAGGCTTCATGAGTTTTCTATGTATGAGATTATTGTCCAGTCCATTTGATAATGCCAGAGTTGACATTTCTTCTGAGGCAGGCCTGTCTCCATCTTGAGCTGTGAGTCATGGTACTGTGAATTCTTAGAAAGCCTTTAGTCATGCTGAAAGGGCCTATGATGCATGGTCTTAAATCTTCCTGAGTTCTTAACAAAGGGTTTAAAGGCCATGCTCTTGATTTGACCTTTTCTCCACAGCCATTCCTTACTTCAAAAGTCTGGCTGGCTGGAGATACTACCTTAAGCTCTCTACATTTTATCTAAATTCTCCTTGAAAACTGAAAGTGGTTCCTTATTTAGCTCATTTCTGTCTTCATGTACTTCATGCAGTTAAAGTTAAATGGCACTTTCTACACTCTGCCTGGAAATCTCTTCAGCTAGATCTACAAGTTCATTAACGTGATGGTCAGTATTTTGTATCAACTTGAGTAGGCCAAGTGGTGCCCAGATTAAACGTTATTTCTGGATACGTTTGTAAGGATGTTTCTGGATGAGATTAAAAATTAATTGGTGAATCCAGTAAAGCATATGGTCCTCCCCAGTATGGGCAGACCTCATCCAATCCATCGAGGGTCTGAATAGAACAAAAAGGTGGAGGGAGGAAGAATTCACCCCTTTTTGTTTTCTGTATGCCTGCATGAACTGCTACATCAACCTTCTGCCCTTGGACTGGGATTGATACCATTGGCTTCCCTGGTTCACAAGCCTGCAGCCTTGGACTAGAATTATACCATGGGCTTTCCTGGGTCTCCATCTTGCAGACAGTGAGTTGTCAGAGTTCTCAGCCTCCATAGTTGCATCAGCCAATTCCTTCTAATAAATCTCTTCAAATATAGGGGTATCTTTCCTTTGTTTATGTTTCTCTGGGAATACTTACTAATACAGTTAGGAATCATTTCTACATTCCACGGCACCATAGTACACAGTTTTGCCAAGCATTCTACTTGTACATAACATGAATCACCCATTTTTCAGCCTCTAGAAATTGGTACCTGGAATGGATAGTTACCATAACTAATGTTAAAACATATGACTGGCAAAGGCTGGAAGGATAGCAAGGAGATTGTTAGTAGAGGCTGGAAGAGAGGAAGGAAGTTAGCACTGGAGGCTGCCATCCCTGGGCATGTTGTATGTTGGCAGTGTAGAAGCAGGTAAGTGGTCCTTTAGTTCACATCTAAGAAATTGCATGCAAGGATTCTCATCCATATCTGGATCTGATTCAGATGATGATAGGGTTCTGAACTTCAAGCAGGTACTGTAATGGGATTAGGCCCTTTTGGGGGTCAGAGTTTTATGAGTACGTTCAAGGGATATGAATCATTGTTGTCAAAGGGTAGATTGTTTCTAAAGATGGCCACAAAAATCCTTCCACTGTGGATGGTTTCTTACTGTCTTGCAATGTGACTTTGCCATTTCTTTCATAAAGAGGTGGAATCTCTTTCCCCTCTCCTTGAATCTAAGCTGACCCTTTATCTTGCTTGGACCAATAGACTAAGGTGGAAGAGAACTTGCAGACTATGTCCTGCCTAAACCCCCTCTTGGGGGCATAAACTACCTTGAAAAGAAGTCTGACTATCCTTCTGAGAAAATAGTGTAGAGACAGGGGCCCTGCCTGCCAGCAGAGCTAACCACCAAGCAGGTGCATGAGGCCACCTCAAGTTGTCCAGCCCTCGTCGAGCTGCCCTAAGACTGTAGCCATGTGAATAACTCCAGCCAGCAGCTCAGGAAGCAGGATGCCCAGCTGAGTCCAGACAGCTTACAGCATCATGAGAAATATCAGATTGTTGTTGTTTCAATCCTTTGGGTTTTGGAGTAGTTTGTTATGCGGTGTTGGATCACTGACACAGGGGTGGAGGCCTTGTGTTCTGGATTTCAGAGTCTCTGCTCTCTCAGTGCTTGTGAAAGTAGCAGTTTTCTTTGCAAGACCCAAATTACCTGGAAGCCCAGAAATTATCTTTCTAAACCTTTCTGCTGGGACCCGGCAGGTGTTTAATAGCTCTCCCTGGAGTCCCCCAGCCCTCCCTTCCCAGCAGCCTGTTCCCCGTGGACTTGAGGGGTGTAGTGAGAGCAGTCACAACAGCTGGTGGGAACAGCTGCAAGACAGAAAGGCACTGGGGGTGTAATTACTTAGAAGTGAGCAGGGGTGTTGGGGGCCAGGGCTGCACCCACAAGCTGTACCTGGGAGGGACAGGTGGCCATGGGGAGGCCTCTCCCCACTTAGGGAATTCACCAGCATTTAGGTACTTCCCATTCCTTAAGTAAACCCCATGCTTTCCTGTCTCCATACTTGCCTGATGCGGTTCCTCTACCTGGAATGCTCCATCCCTCTTGTCTACCAGAGGGAATCCTACTTCATTTTAAAGACTCACTCACACATCTTCTCTGTGATGCTTTTTTTAACCTGGCTGGGCAGAGTCAATAGATCCTTGCTCTGCTCCCACTGTGCAATGCTATTAGCTCTTACTGTAGTCTGACTTATCTGTTGGGTGCTTGACTAGTTAGGCTTACATTTAACTGAGCATGACAGAAAGCTCCAAAGTAAGTATATTAAGCAGATAGAGCTCCCCCACTCATATAGGAAGCCTGGAGGTAGTGGGACCCAGGGCTGGTAGCTATCCATCCCTCCCCATGCCCCCATCAAGGCCTAGACTTGTTGGTTTTTGTGCTCTCCTGTGCGATACGTTTCACCCAAAGTTTACCTCAAGGTCAAAGGTAGCTACTGAAGGTCCAGCATTCACTTCCATATTCCAGCCAGCTGGAAGGAGGAAGAGCATATCCTTTCCCTTTCAGCATATTCTTTAAAATTTGCACACATCTCTTCTGCTTATGCCTTTGGCTCAAGCTTGAGATGAGGCTGAGAAATATGGTCTTTAATCCCAGCTAAAACCTAAGTTGCACTTCTAAGAAAAAGGGAGATGATTAATACCAGGGGTCAATTAGTGGTGTTTAAGTACTATCTGTCTTTTTCATTAGGATGACCTTTTGAGACTAGGAAATATATCCCATTCATCCATGTTTTCTCCATATTGATCAACTCTGTGCCTGGTGTATGATGGATGTTCAATGAACAATGACATAGAAAATTGACTTGCTGATTAGAAGCCAATACCCCTGGGAGGGGTAGTATAATTCATTATTAATAACTCCGTAGAAATTTGTCTCTGATCTCCAAGTCCTGGCTTCCTACTTTCTTTTCTGTACTTCTGTATTTCTCTATGACTTTTACCTGTCTATTTTCTCTTGCCTCTGGGTTTCTAGATCCTGAAACCATTACCAAATCTTCTTACATATTCTCCCGTGGGCTGCCCAGAAGAGCTATAGACTGGAAGGTGCGTGTTGCTTTCATCAGGTGAGGAGGTGTTGAGGGTATGTGTGTATCTGAAGTGGAGGTCAGGAAACCTGGGTTATAGTTTCAGTTTGTCCACCGGGTAAATCTGTTACTCTGGTAAACCATGCTTACCATCTTTGTCTTTTTCTTCTGTAAAATGATAAAGATATATATTATCTTCATCCTAGAGCTTCAGAATATACACAGCCAAATAAAGACCATGCATATTTTACCTGTATGTGTATGCATATATGTGTGTGTAAATTTATTATATATGTATATATTTTTTATTTTATATATGTATTTAAACACATACACATATATATAAAAATAGAGTTGCAAGATGTTATTATATGTAAATGTGTAATAAGCAAATAACAACTAAAAAGATTCTTTGTATCCTCCTCCCCTGCAATTGGTTTTCAAAATACATACTCCAAAATAGAGGTAGGAGGGGGCCTGATCTCTACCTTCTTCCTCTGCCCTCAGTGTTTCCTCCTGAGTGCTGTGGCTCAGAACCCAGAAGCCCTTCTCAGTCCTGAAGCATGACTGACAGTCATTTCCATAGATGGGCCTGGAATGACAGGGTGATGGATGTTGCTGTCACTCTACTGAGATGGGGAAATGTTTTCTCTGGTTGGCCGTGGAAGTCTCCCTGCCATAGATTTTCTAGGGGTTCAGAAGTTTGACAAATGTGGACCAAAGGTGGCCTGCAGGGCCCTAGGGCTGGGACTGGCTTAGTTATCCACCTTTGGGGTATTTTCAAGGACTGTTTGGCCCTTAAAGAATTTACTATGTCATAAAAGTTTGGAGAAGGGAAGAGGAAAATAAATGAGGAAGGAGGTCTGAAGCCCATGCAGGCAAGTTGATGGACTGAGCAGGCTTTCTGTGACCTCTTTGCCCACTGCCCTCCTTTGCCTGGGGGATGTG